TCTCAATTTTATGATTAATTATAATCTGCAAAATAAAATTACCAGATAATTTTTTTCCTGACAACTGTTATGAATTTCCTGAAAATAGGAATTCTAGAATGATCAATTCTTCTAGGTGGGGATCATTAAAAATAAGCAGTGAAGGAAGAATGCTAAATACATGGTTTGGGGATTAAATACTTTTCTCTCTGGATTCATCCCACATGGATTCACTCTTCCTATGACATATCACCCGCTTCAGGTAAGAGGCATGGCTAGGGATTAAGCTAAGTAGAAACACGAGGTACAACAATCTGCTCTGAAGCAACTCTTGTTCCCTAAAATGACACAAAATGATGCGTGCTATTTATTTAACTTTCTCCTAACTTCTCTTTTTGTAAACTTTGCTTTTAAAAAAGCCATTTTGTATTTTTGAGAAGTTGGTTAGGAATAAGTGTGAATATTTCTAAGAAGGCATTATGTTAAGTATTTGATACCACAGCGGGAGGAGCCAATTCTATTTAGATATTCTTCCCCATGGCTTTAGTCACAGCACTTTCTTCTTCTGGATTTATTGGAAATTTCTGTTCCCTGACACTAGGTTGTCTGTCCATTCCATCATCTTTTCTCCTGCTGTGGTTTGAGAACTGCTTGACTTTTGAGAAGAAACCTTTTCCCTTATATTTAGTGCTCATGTGCAGAGCCTGGAATCAAAATAATCCACTTTTTTCTATGTCAGGTTCGGTAGTTCATACCTGTTCATAACTTTTACCTACGGACAAAGTAGTAAACCAATAAGTGATTGTCACAGAGATTAAAGATGACTAATAAGACTAATAACTAATAAGAAGGCAACTATTGAATTAATTTATGCATCATTCAGATCCTATGTCCTTGTTATGTGTTTGGGACAGCTGCTGGGCAGACACACTGCAACAAACGTGGTCCCCAGTTTCAAGGTGTTTGTAGTCTGGTAGAGGAGATCAGACCTTCCTACAAATAACCATGGTAGAATTGGAAAAGAAATACTTTAAGGGAGTTAGGAATGTGGACATCCAGAGGAGAAATATTAATAAATTGCTTCTCTATGTTATTAGTGTTACAGTTAGCAGGACTAAGAAATGTTGGAACTCAGGACTAACAAACACTCACCCCTCACAATCTCCTCTGGCTGCAGGGCCATCGCACTATCCACTGGACAACTGTAATTTACCAGTGAACAGCTCTACCTGAATATCTGATCAGGATTTCACCACCATGTGCAAAATCACACATCATTTTTCTTCCCAAAGCATCTCCTCCTAGCCTTCCTTACCTTTGTCTAGGAGACATTTCCCTACTTCTAGTGCTCAGATAACCCTGTCTCGACATTTCGGTTACCTTCTCCCACATTGCCAGTGAATATATGTCAAATCACACACTTTCTACTTCCTTAAACCTCTTCCCAGACTCTTGTTTTTTTTCTTTCTTTTTTTTTTTTCATTTTATTGACAGACTCAGACTTGAAATGACATTTGAACTAGTTTCTTTAACTTTTCTCTCTCCTGACTAATCCTCTTTAGACTAACATAGTCTAATCTATATTCTGCTGACAGATTAATCTTCCCGATATATAGCCCCGATCATATAATTCCTGTACACAAACGCACTGATAGACTCAAACTAATTAAGTATCTGAGTCAATATTTCTCATCCTGGAATTCAACACCTCCTGAGGCTGTCGTTGTAGCCTTATTTCCCAGTACTTAGCTATGCCCAACCGGCGGCCCCTTTACATTCCTAGACTAGGATATACTGATGCTTCAATGTTCCTATTCAAGAAATTTCAGCCGTCTGGAACCTTCTGATTTTCAATTCTCAAAGCTTGTCATAATTTCCACTTTTCTATGAGGCCTTTTCTGAAGTCTTTAAACCCTAAACCGAGCTAGCTGTGAATTTTCCATGTTATTCTTTATTGACCTCTTAAGGCCAACAATGTGATCAAACTTATAATTACTTGGCTCATCCTCTTCCCTTCCCCACTTCTAGAGTGAGGGCTGAGTTTTACTGATCTGTGGAAACTTACAGTATTTAGCATGGTGTCTGCTAATTGTGTGTTCAATTTTTTTTTCATGGAATTGAATGTTCAATTGCTAACATGAATTGCTCCAACCATTTCAATCTTCCTTCAGATGCCAATAAAGAAAGTGGTGTTTTTTTTCAGCCTACACATGCCTACAACATTTAATCTTTTCTAAATTAATGTAAAGTTCAAAAAGCAAATGGCCCTTGAAGAGTAAGTACATATTATTCCCAGGGCCTCCTTCTTCTTGGAATCCCTCTTATTTAACTTTTCTCAGTCCTGACAGTCAAAAGCTCAAAAGCTCATCCATTGATCTAGACTTAAAAGCCAGAGGGGCTTAAAAGCCACAGTAGGGTTCTGTTCAGTTTCAAACACAATTTAGTAAACCTTAGGAAAGAATGACAGCTCCCTTTCAGGAAACTTCCATACATATTTCAATGGAACCGCTTTCCAGACTGGAGATTGTAAAATATTATACCACCAACCAAGTAATAAAAAGTCACTCACTGACATGTAGAGAGATTCCCTTGATTTTCACAAAGAGCACAAAAGGCTATATTGTATTTATTTAAATCCGAGACTGACAAAAACATCAAGAAAGAAAGAGAAGTAGTCAATTTCTCTAAAAGATTATTATTTAGCAATAAATTACTATGCAGAAAAAGCCTGTCTGTTTGACAGCTTGTGAGTTTAAGGCAGATGAGATGTCTCCCGCCACCTCCTCCACAGACAACTCTATTGCTGACACGTGTTAGTCATCCTACATTTGGGGAACACGTAGAGCTCTGAAATCAATGTGTTTCTGGTACAGGGGGTTAACGAGAGAACTTCCTAAATCAGCTTAGGAAATGCTTCATTTCCTGTGCCCAATCTGCAAAGGAAAACAAAACAGCCAGAGCCAGGTGCAACAGAAATCATACTCGGAGATGGGAAAATCTCATCTCATTCCTTCCCTGCCTTACTCAGCCGGTCAATCTATGCTCCTAAGGTAGAGCTTCCTTTTACTAAGATAAATGGAGCAGATTTTTGGTTTTTGTTGTTTGTTTGTTTTGGTTTGGCTTTTTTTTTTTATTTCAGCATATTATGGGGGTACAGATTTTAAGGTTTCAATAAATGCCCACTCCCCACCCCCTGTTTTTTAAGACACTGGCCTTAAGTTAACAAGTTAGGTTTTCGTCAGAGGTTGGACGAGATAGTGATTATGAACTATTATCCCTGCTCAAATGGGAAAGTATCCTACAGGGGATAACAGTTCATTAAAAAGATGGCACTTAAAGGGTTGGGCTTATTACCAGTGAGCTAAAGGGGGTTGGCTTTTTCCCAAAACGACCACTGCAGAGAAACCTGCACGGCCATCTCTGGGTTGCCCTAGACCTTCATGTCTTCACTAGGGCCAGGTTTTGCAGGCTGCTCCTATTGACCCTATTCCACCTTACTTTCAGAAGGACATGTAATCCATTCAGAGTTGAACAGTCCAGCAAAGTAGCATACTCACTGATGCTTGCGGACCAGGAACAGAAAGAACCCTATCCCACTCTTGCAGACTTTATACTAACCTGGCATGTATTTGTGAGCAGTGATTTGTGTGGCACTGGGCTTCCTAGCAATCTTCCCCGTGCATACTGAAGAGTTACTTCTAAGCCAGTGCATGGATTTCTGTGGCACCTCATGAATATTGTTTGTTTTAAAAAACCAGATTCTAAGAATGCTTCTAAGTTAAAATTTTGGCCTTGATACCAGCTGCAGCTCAACCCCAGAAAATCCAAAGGTGCATGGTAATCAAGTGTGTGTGATATTGAAGTATCTTGGAATTTGTCCTAAATGTACAAAGAAAGTTTGAGAAATGACTGATAAGATGTTGTTTAAGAAGGGGTGGACTTAGTTTTTCCCACATCGTCACTGCAAATTAGAAATTTGTAGGCAGTAAAGTTTTGAAAAGAGAATGAGCAAAAGAAAATTGGAACTGGGTGGATTTTTCCCCCAAAAGTCCCTCAGCCGAATCAATCTTTCCCAAATGTGTTCTTTTATGACAGTTTGTACTTCAGCTTCACACTTATTAAATCTGTCTTGTATTAGAATCGCATGCTTATTTCTCCCAATAGTACATTTAGCACTGTGGGCAGGGACAACATCTTACTCATTTTTATACTCTTTGCACTGCCGGTACAGGGTAGAAGCGTAATAAATATTGAGCAAGTCTAAGTGCTTATTTTGAATCATTCAGGAAGGATTAAAAGTCAAATGTAAATCGTTTCTCAAAACTGGTCATTAACATAGTCAGAGCTTATGCAGCTACATACGTGTTCTTTATCTGAGTTTCTTAACCTGCAGCCAGTGGGCAGGGTTTCGAGTTCCTGAAATGTTATGTAAAACTTATGTATACGTTTAGATGAGTGCATATTTCTACAGCAAAAGCCTATAAACTTTAAGCAAATTGCCCTCCCTCCATTCACCGCATCCCTTCAAGATATCAAGATTCACTTCCCTAGGTAGTTTTACTCAACCTCTCCGTGCATCAGAGCTGAAAGTTCGGACAAATACAGACTAGCATCTGCAATGCAGTATTTCCAATTACACCCTTCCTCCTATTCATGACAATCTTAGTTTTTCTGGGCTTACATCTGAAAAGATATTTTTGAAAGAGTGCTTTTGTAACCAGCATTCCAGCCCCAGATTTTCGTTCTCTAAAAAACCCATTGTGTATTCCCAGTGCTTTTGTGATTCCATCAAGCTTGCTTCAAGGCTGCTGCACCCCCGAATGTTGTTTCCCTTCAGTGGCAGCAGCCAGCTCTCCCTGGAGCCTTCCCCACGGCTGGAGCCAACATCCGAACATGCAACTCAGCCGAGGAACTGCTGCATCGGAGTTTCAGGGGAACGTCCCTGAAAGTAAACTGAGGCTAAGAGCTCCCTACTAGTGATTTCTCATCCATACCACCAGAAGAATAAGAGAAAATGGTACCTGTGTTGTTTTCACTGTTGCAGAGACTGGACAGAAGAAGGAAAAGAACGGTGACTTGCAGCAGCTCCATGGTGGCCTTCGGTCGTCGTCTCAGTGGCTTCTCTCTCCAGAGTCAAGCAGGGTCGACTCCCTCCCCGCTCGGCCAGGCTGTGCGAGCAAGGGGAAAAGGTACACTGAATGTGAACAGTCACTGCCCATTCCTACTTATTTTGGGGGCTCTGATAAAGAACGGGAGGAAATTCATACACTCCCTCTGGGAGTTCAGCAGAGAGGAGATTTATTGTTTCAGCCCCTTACAGGAACTCTTTTTTTTTTTTTTCTCTTCCTTTGGCAGCCACTTATGTTTTTGTTGCTACATTATTTTGTTCTTCTTTAACAGAAAGGTCAGGATGGGTTTTGAACAGAAACAGATCCTTCTTGAGAATGGATCATAGAGCCTTCTAGCTTTTGTTTTGAAAGTGAGTTTCAAAGTGACTATAAAGGGGCCTCATTAAACAGCTACTCGGTGCCCGAGGGTGACATTTGAGAGCAAAATTCAAAAGGAATCAACTTTTCTTCGCTCTTGCCAACTTGAAAGCCAGATCAGTGAAGACTACCTTCTGGATCTAAGTGCAAAATCTTATTCAGTAGATCATGCTCTGCTCTTGAGTAATTCTTAAGGGATGTCCAGAAAAGCTTTTCAGGATATTTCTAATAGAATGAAGCAAAGACGAATGTCCATTCCTCATCCCTGGTTTTTATTGATGGACTTGGATGAAGAAGAAGGAAAAAATACTTATAATACCTCATGGGTGCGGTTCTCTAGAGTATAGATCAGAATGGCCTTTGGCAGGGATGCCAGATTAGAGAGGCTGGGAGAGATGGACTCTTTAGGATTGGAATGCCAACCAGGCAGGATAATCTATACCTCAGGAGTCACTTAGATGTCAGTGGTGATTGATTAAAACATGGTGATAACATTCCCACAACCCTGGATACAACCCTTGTATGCGCCAATAACTTGATACTTTTCCTCAGCCACATGCTTCACATCTAATTTGAGCCAACCGTCCTTTTATGTGTCTTTAGGAACGAGGCCTGCTAGACAACAGCATCGTTGGACCAGTGTGGATTCATCTGCCCACCAAGAAAACTATTCAGAAATTATACCTTCGCCTGTTTGCTAGGAGGGCACACGTTTCATGGCTGCACCATGCTGAGAAAAACTCCCTACGAGAGGGGCTGGAGCAGGTTGACTGCTCTAGATACCTAAAAACACTAGCTAGTCTGACCCAAAGTTACACTGAGGGTCAGAAGTGCCAGGTTTCTGCTTTGTGCATAAGCAAGACTGAATCTCACCCGCTTCTAATTGACTTTCTAAAACAGATGGCCTTTGGGGCTGGGCTTTATTGGGCATATCCCGGAGCATATGAAGATTGCAATGCATGCGAATAGATGTCACATGTGCTTTCCAGAAAGGAATCGGGGTATGGATGCGTGAGATCACAGGCAGCGGTCACACGGCCTCACTTCCTGCTCTTCGCTGTGCTCAGACTCCGGAGCTGGTGGCCGTGGGGTCACGGCATGTGCTGGTCACCTTCATTTCTAGGGGACTCAACGGCATTCGGATTTCTCAGCTCTGACCACTGTGTGTCTGCGTGGAGTAGACTGGACACACGCTCCAAGAATGCTTGACAATAGAGCATTAAGACGATGTAGAGTATTAAGGCAATGTATTAAGACAGAGGACCTGTAGATGAACAAAGAAAAAGACAGAAAAACAAAATCTAAGAAAAATGCATCTTCAAACACTCAAAAGAATAGAAATAAGGAAATAATGGGGGTCAGCTGTGCCTTTACTAAATCAGAAGGTGTTTTTAAGGTAAAGTAATTAATGAAAACAGTCAGAAAATATAGACAGATCGATGGCATAGAATTAACAGTACAGACACAGAAATTTATCTATCACTATCTACACATATATGTGTGCACATAAATATATTTGCATATACGTGTGCTTGTGTGTATACGTGTGTGTGTGTGTGTGTGTGTGGAGAGAGAGGTTAGATATAGGCAGGTTTAACATATACAAGACGTGATGAGTAGGGTGTACATACATAGGTTGAGATGGATTCGCTTCCACTACTGCTTTCAGATCATCATTATCCAGCTTGGTGTCAGGTTGCCCACATGGCTCATTTTCAAGATTAAAATCACCAAAAAGGAACTTCTCAAGTCATGGAGATACTGTGCATTCATTAGCTACATCCCTCCCAAACACTGTGCTGATATTTTCAGCTGTCTGCGCTGCATTGGTTCTGAGATGAAACTCAAATTCGAAAATAATATGAATTTTTGACTTATCCAGTGGGGTGAAGAAGACATTTTATGCATGACAACACAAACAAAGCACATAAAAGAAAGACTTGATCCATTTGCTTACATAAAAACTGATTTTTGGCCCAATGCAACATAAGATTAAAAGGCAAATAAAAATTTTGTACAAATTTTTAATGGACATATTTTATCTTGAAAATGTTGTCTGATCTAGAAAACTAACTCTACAACTAAAAAACAGGTAAAATAAAGAAAAAGGAAATGGAAGGCCAACAAAATACACAAAATATATTCATCTCACTGGAAATCAAAGAAATTAGGTAGTCAAATATTGAGACAATGTATTTTGTCTTTCAAATATAATTAGATATATTTTCTGACAATACCCATTGTTGATGAATTTTGAGAGCAAGTTACCATCTTATTCTTGTGTTATGACCTTTCTGGTGTGTGATTTGGCAACATACATCAAACTCTTACAGAACCATAAGCTTTGAACTTGCATTTATGTGTTTAGGAATTTATTCTAAAAGTGAAGATGTTCACTGAAGTTTGCATCATTACAAAAATTTATCAAAATATTAATTATTGAGGAATAAAATGGAATATTATTCTGTCCCAAAATACTATCAAGATAATTTTTTTGTAGATATGGAAAGACATGTTGTAGATGTGGAAAGATGATATTTTGTTGCATGTGTGATGTATTTATGTGAATATACATCTATAAATGTGTCCATAAACACACACACACACATAGAGAGAGAAAGAAAAAAATAGAAAATGTTAACAGTGCTTATCTCGTGATAGTGAAATATGGGTGGTTTTTACCTTTTATTTGTATATTTTCCTTAAAAAGGTTATCCAGGGTAAACACATATTGTTTCTGTCTTTTAAGCAAAAAGAAAAAAGAAAAATTTTGGTTGACCTGATACCTTTTGTTTAACTTAATATTTGAATGTATATTTACACATGTGCTAATATTATTAAACAATTTCTATTCCAATCTTCTTGAATGCTTTCATTATTGGAAGTGTGTAATTTAAAAGCACTTTAATAAAAGAGAATATATGAAGAGAACTAAAACACATGTCTTTGCTTTTGTGTGTGTGTGTTTTTTTTTTCCCACAATTTGTCTTCTGAATTCCTCGCTTAAAGGAAAGATAAGCTGCCGTGAGGTCATGCAAGAGCAATTTCAGGATTCCTTCCAAGCATATGTCAAGGTTTGTCATTGACACTTTTGACATGGAAGAAACTGTACAATGAAAGGCTCCAAAGCAAACGGTTCATGTTGATTTGTGTGGCACTGAGATTTATTCAGGTGGCACCATGATTAAGCCTGCAGATTCAACTTCCTTTCCATACTTGCCTTATTCCTCTCTGTCAGCTCTTCGCTGTGAATACAATCACCTAAAATGATAGGAAAGCCAAGCAGTGATCTCATGACCTGGCACACAGCGTGTGGTCTGAATTCAAATCCTGACTCTCTCCCTTCAACTGTGAGACTTGACTGAGGTATTTTCCCTCTCTACGCCTCAGTTTCCCCATGGAAAATGGGGTAAACACCCTGTCCACTTTCCAATGTTGTTTAGAGGATTAAGTAATATTTCAGAAAAATCTTCTAAAAGTGCATAGTAAACAAACTAATTTTCAACTTCTAGAATCTTTAGGCTAAAAAAGAATTGCCTTATTTTACTGGCGTGTTTTCAGGTTGTTAGGATTTTATACAAACAATCTTATTCCAGAATTATTAACAGTTTCTTAAGAAATAATAAGATGATGAGAGTCTCAACATATTGTTGAGAACTGATTTTACAGGTTCCCACTCTTACTATGAGAAACGTGCTCCGTGCCCCACTGTAGGGAACGTTCCGTGTCGGGTCCTTTCTTCAGTAGAGATAGAACCAAACAGCTTATTTCTGCCACCTGCCTATGTGAAATGGAAATTGAATGGTCTCTTGGATGTATTAGGAACAGAGCTGAAATTAAGTAAATATTTAGAGGCCATGGTAGTAGAGATACCAAGTCCCCCTCCTTCAGAGCCAAAATAGATAATGGAAATGGACATCAACAGTGGGAGGGCCCAGATATTTGGCCAAACTTATGGCAATACAATAAATATCTTCCTCACCTGTCACAATTTCTATTAATCAACTCCCAGTGGCCACGGGCCAGTGCTGTTTCATTATTGCTCACATGAAAGGAAGGTGTCATGGCAAGCTGATTCTTGAAGCTTCCAAAGAACTTATCTTTCAAATGCCTGAACTATCCATCCCAATTTTACTCCTCACACCGACTCCTTAACCTTGAATAACTCTCTTGACAGACAAGGCCATGGATACAGAGGAGTCATAAAAGCACAGTAGCTCAGAGATGAGATATGCAAAAAGTTAATTTAGTCCAAATTCTTACATGACACGGGAGTAACCCTGGCAAATACTGAGTGAATCTCCGTGTTATTAGTAATAGTTGAAATGACGGAAGCTCATTATTGGGTCAGGGAGGCAGCCGTTCTCCTATCGGACAACTCTCCTTGTTAAAACGTCCAATCACCATTCCTTCATCCTTATCTGCCCTAAGAATCTCTGGAAATCACCACCATAAATTGACTCTTCCTGTACAAAGCTGAGCTGCAGAGTTTTTTTCCATTAATTATGTAGATCACATTATTAAAAGGAAAAAATGAGACTTCTCCAAGAACTTTAGAATTCCTAGTATATGTATCCATAATCAAATTTTAATTATATTTAATGATGCACTGGGATGGTTGCTTCCTTGGAATTCTGGAACATGTAAATGAACTCAGAATAAACAGGCAAGTGTAAAGTTCTTCCGCAGTTTCTGCTCAACTTTCTACTTAGCTCAGCTGTCACCAGCCATAAACTTCAAGCCCAAGATTTTTGCTCAGATGTCTCATTACTGATTTGCCATAAATAGCATAAGAAATATTCTTTTCTTATG